ACATATTCCGGTAGCTATAGTGGGGAGGTTCATGCGTAAACTTTGTCTACGAACTACGAACTGTAGCAAAGTAGGCTAGCGCGCGCTCGGGGAAATTAGCGCGAGTGTACTGTGTTATTGTTATTTGCCTACTTTACCTACCTATATATCCTCATGAATAGATAATTTTGTGCCTAAATTGAACTAGACTTTTATGAAAATATTTTTAGTTAGACTAATAGTTGCAGGCAATTTATCTTGTACTGAAATGGCCCAAAATTCTACCAAGAACCCAAAAAACACTTGACTTTTTGTAAAAAAATAAAACATAACAATGTTATAGTAACAGCGCAATATAAAGCAAAGCTTTGTATTCCAAACCAACTTAACTTACAAAGAAAATTTTGTAAAATAATCGATTTCTCGTAATCGAAATACAATAGTAATAGAAAACCTCCCTTCGTAGGGAGTGTCCGTTCGGCGTAGCGGGGTCTACACGATTGCTACGCCGATATAAAATATCTTTCTCTATCATTGGACGCGATTACGAAGGCAAGGGATTTCGGCGAGTATCCGATGTATTTACGAGAGGGACCCGAGTCTCCGGGGGGTCATTATCGATGCGAGTTATTATTGAGGGCGTCGATACTGATTCGCTGATACTACAAAAAGAAGTAATATAATATTAAATGGGATTAGAAGTAATAGATTTTTTCCTAACTCTAATGATGTAAGCAATATTTTCAGTCTGTTTTATAAAAAAAAACCATTTAGACGGGTTTCCTAATATATACACGCAGATGCAAGGAAAAATATTTTATTAACTTACACTATTTTGCAATCAATGTATGCAACTCTACCAATTTTGTTTGCATACTTTAGTAAGAAGTAAGAAATTATATAGCCAACTAATAACGCTATAATGGTAAAAATTGCGCTTACTTACAAAAAGGAAGAAACTCAGCGCAATATCGTCTATATTAGTCATATTCAATGCTACTACGATACGTAAAGTGGCTATTAACATTATTGGTGTGTATTCATTGGTTACAGATCAAGGGAAGCTGCTCCTTTGCAGGAAGCCGTTGGCGTATGCTCATCGAAGCGAAAAGCCCTTTCCACTTGAATTAAATCCATAATGCGAAGAGGAATTATTAAATACCTATTAAATAGTAATATTGGTGGTCTAGAAAATTGGTGGTAGTTTTTTATGAATTAAAATTCCTGTTATTTACAGCGAAATATTAATTCTAAATGTAACAAAATATTTGATTTGTTTTTGTTCCTGACTCTATTAAAACAAGGTCTCTCCCTCTCTATTCCCTGCAACATTTTGCTCATATCACACGTCTGACCTAAATAATTGCCATAAATATTATCAAAGCTAGCAAAGTATTGCTAAATTATGTCACGTGCATGTCTATTGGAACACGCTTTCACGTATGCGGCGCAGCTTGAAAGCGCTAATTAAAAATGTTGAAAGGAAATTTCCTTTTGAGTGGCTTCATTGTAAGTTTTAGAGGATATAACTTACTTTTCGAGTCGGAAGAGGGCGTTCGTATTGACGGCACTAAAGGCAGACAGCCGAGGTCGGTCGAGATTGCCGCTGACGACTGTTTTAAACTTTCAGGTAAACTTCTATTGTTATATTGTTTGAAACGGTGCGTGCCGTTTTTGAAACGAGAATTTAAAACAACAGCTGTATTACTGACGTATTCTTGACGAGAACTCAACAATTGTGTACCAAACATTTTTGATTAATATATTTTTACATATAAGAACGTACGAAAACGTTAAGCTCATGGAAATTAGTAGCCACCGTGAGACCATAGAAATAATTGTTAAATTTTTATGATTGAAATAAAACAATATTACTAACAGTATAGCGACAACTGCTTTAGTTACGCAATACGCATTTTTTTTAGAAGTAGAGTCCAATAACGTTCCTTCATCTCAGCACATAAATCATCGCAGGGTTTCCTCTTCGGAATAATGTTACAGCAATAAAAATCCATACCGAGCCCCAGATGTTTTATCTTCAACGTGTGGCAACAAAATAAAGCGTTTTAAGACGTTCTATAAAATATCAGATTAATTTTAAAAAATCACCATTACATTCATATAAGCGCATAATAACGTGAACAAAGACATCTTTATATATACTAACAATTGCGTTTAATTTTTCACAAAAATTACAAATACTAGTTGTCCGCGACTTCGTCCGCGCGGTATTAGAAAAAAATCTAGTAATAAGTATAGCATATATCACCGGGGATACATTATCTTGGGACGGAAAGAATTTTTCAAATAGTTTCAGTAAATTCGGAGCCTACTCAATACAAACAATTAAATATGTCCTCTTTGTAATATTACTATGAAAATATATATACAGCGTATAGATAAGTTTCATATTGAGCTTTTAAAATAATCACTGCATACACACACTACTAGTTATAAGACGTTACTTTGTATTTAACATGAAACATTCATCAGCATCGTATAGATACAATAGTATATTATATACATGAAATATCTTTTTATATACTGTATATAAAGAGTGACATTCCTGCGCGCGACCTCGCGCCGTCTGGACCGCAGTAAACATCGTCTGGTATGCGTCTACGTTGCATTTATACACGCGCACGCATTTATATTTATACGTGCGTCCCACTATATAAATAGCAGTCGCTATGACGAGCCAGACTGTCAAATAAACTAGGACAGTATAACACGAAATATCCTACATACGGTAATTTTATTATTTAGAAAATTAATTACTTTAACTGTGAGTGTAAAAAATCCACGATTAGCAATATTTATGGTATCATTATTATTAAAAATTTCATTAAATCGCTACAACTAAAACTAATAAACTGTAATCTGACGACTGACGCACAGAAATATTTCATTGTTTCAACTGAAGCTAAAAACCTTTTTCAGGTGTAGACTTAACAGGCGTTATCTTGGCAACGTTAACACCGCACAGACGCTCGTTTAATTTCCGTTGCGAATTTGAGTTGAAAAGCGCTTGCTTATTACGCCAAAGCATTTCTTAGCCGGTTGACTTGTGTACAAAGATGTTGTTATGTCTATCAAATAAATATGATTGTTTTCTTGCAAAATAATCACAACTTACAATTGCTGGCACTGGCACATACGAATTTTACTGGCATATAAAAAAAACGCGCTATTATTTTCTATTAATTATATATCTACTTAACTGGCGATGCATGACAAATACATTTAAAATTTACTTTATCATCAAATAAAATTATTTCTCCGTTTGGAATATCGAATTAAATAATTTCTTTGATATCGCAGAACTGACAGATAACAAAATGTAAGTACTTCAACTTCAAGCTCAGTCCTTATCCTAACTTAGCAATAGTACAAATTCAAGTTTGTGTAAGTTCAACTAAGTTAAAAGGAGGCTTATCTTAGCTATTTTAGGTGACTGGGCAAAAGCTGACCTAGTTATCTCTTTTGGCATATTTAACACATAAAATTGTTACATATTAGGTAAAGTTTCCTATCTTTTAACGTATATGTTATACAATTATCTATTGATACATTAAAAAAAGGTATTAAAATGTTTATTTATTTTATTTTATTAAAGTAATTTATTCCTTGAATGTTATTAGTAAGATTATACTAATTGCTTGTAAACAAGCGCTATAAATGTATTTCAGACTAATTAGCATTTAAGCACAAACCGGCTAGACTGCGACACTAATTAAGGTTCACAGAATTAATTATGTATAATTAACAACAATGCAGTTCGCTGCACGGCGCTATGGTAATCTAATCATACTTAACTATAACTTTATAAAGTTAACTAGTGATCCACCATGACTTTGCCTAGGCAACTGACTTTATAATCAAAGAAAAAAGTGTATCTACGACGAAAATTCTTTGGGCTTGAATTGTAACGCATTATAGATTTCTATTGTAAAATAGGTGTCACATAAAATTAACTAACAGTGTGTTTCTGGGACCAAAAACTCCGTTTAAAAATATTGTTATCTTTATTTGTCTACGATAGTGACAGGGATGACGATATGTTTTTAATGGATATTTTGGTCTCAGAAACCTACGGTAAATTAATCTCCGTGTCGTCTCTTCCATAGGCATGGCAAATCTGACCATGTTATTGGGATATTGTAGCATTGCCTCGTTCAACTTCCTTCCCCATCTTTTCAGTCCCTCCATATTTTTTCGACCATATCATCACTTAACATGAGGTGGGATCGTGGTCAAGGGCTAGCTTATAAAAAATAAAAAACAAAACTCATCTATATCAATAACAGTGGTATTCTAAAGAGACAATACTGTTCTCAAAGACCGAATGCATTCAATAAATTGCCATGTGCATTGTGGCCATGAAGCCTGAAACTATCCAGACCGAGGGCAGTTTGAGATAGTTACGCGTTAATACAAAAATTCCTGCGGAAATAAAAGGAAGCATTCAATGAAGTCTTATAAAACTTGATCTTAAATAACTTTTGTTTCAACAAAGACGTAGACAGAGTTTACAATGTCCAAATTATTTGACACTATGAAGTTTTATGTTCTGTTATTTTTTTGATAAATATAACTTTTTAATAATATTTTACTGTAAATACTGTCTGTACAGGTATCCTTTATAGTTCTTATACGTTAAATAAAATCGAATCTAATATTCTCATATGCACAACAAGTCAAACAAAAAACAAGAATATTCAAACTTTCGTATCCTCAAAGTGCACAGCTGAACAATCTAATAGCAAAATGGTTGACAAAATTGAATTCTGATGGAAGTTTTATGTAACTTTTTTCATCCGGACACTTGAGACCTACTTATTGCTGACCGAAAACGATTCATTCTAGAACTTCCCTTTTTATATTGTAGTTTTTTATCCGATCGCTGCTATTTTAAAAATGTTCCTTCAATTTGTGTGATTGTAAAATTTCTTAAGTAATATTCTTCTTACTTCTATCACAATTTGAATTATATGATATATGTATATACATGGTGTACTCACCATAAGGTCCGCGCATCCATTGTGTGTCCACAGACTATGTTTTATTGAACACCATCTGTAACAAACACACATTGTTCTGTAACGATAAATACTTTTATTTTTATTTTAAACACTTTCTTAGCGTATTTTTAGACCTATTTAAAAGATTATTATAGGAAACTTTTTACAGTATTATCTTACTTCTTATTAATATAATATTATTTTTTTATTTTTTATTTCATAAGGTGGCAAACGAGCGAGCGGCAACCTGTAATCGCTGAAATAGCGAAGTGACCGTTGGCCATAGACATACGCAATTGCATATGCGTTGCCTACCTTTAATCGACGGAGGAGGGGATGCACAGAAAGAAAATATCTTCCCCTTCCATGCATCCTCTCATCCGGAAAGTCCACTTCCACTTCCCATCCTTTCCTTATAAAGAAAAGGATGGGAAGCGAAAGAGGACTAAATTAGTCCTCCGTGACGCACACTCATCAGACGAAACGCGGAATTGCTTCCACTAAACGCCTGTCTTCTGTGTGGTCGTGGTATTTCACCGGGCGAGCCGGGCCAATTCGTGCGAAGATGTTAAAGCGGGCTCTACCACTGTTATATATTATAAATGCGAATGTCTAAATCCATCTGATGGATAGATGTTTGTTAAAAGATATATCCAGAACATTGTGCATTGATTTTGCTGAAATTTTTGCATAGAACATAATTTAGTATAACGCAGCATAATTGAGTTTTTTTTTTTAATTTCGTGTGGAAGGAGTCGCGGCAACACCTAGTGAATAATTTATAACCCGTAAAGATGAATAAAACTCTACGATTAATTCAGGAATTATCAATATCGTGTCAAATAATAATTTAACGGAATTTCCATATTCACATAATTCCAAATTTTAATAAAAGATAAATCAATCAAGCGAGACCCCGAAAAGATAGGGCCGGTCCGTGACGTCAGAGTCCGGAACCCTTCCGAACATCTCAATTGCTTAGGCTTTATATTGATGTTAATCCGCTTGGAATAATTTCTGTTTAGTGAAAGCTCTTACCCGACATCATCGGATATTCAATTTGAATTTGCCAACTTTAGCAAATGTTGGCTTGGAATTGGCCAACTTTTATGTGCTCGTAGCAGTTTTAAGGGTTGGCATGAAACTGTTTGAACATTGTTTTGTTTGTTTAAATTTCACAAAAGGTTTTTCAACACAAGAGAAAAGTTTAGACATTCTGCTATATCTTGTGATTATAAATAGAGTCAATATATTATTTTTAAACCTCTTTATATTACTATAAATGTATGTAATATAAAACGTAGCTTAAATCTTTGAGTTAGCAAATTACTTTCATCGTTTATGCAGATAATCAGTTCAGTGAGAATAAGTAATGCTAAAGCGTGATGTATGCAACTAAATTGAGTAGGCATCCGCGGCGTAGGCTAGAATCACCGCCGGGGTGCATCCGCAATCGGCCGGATAATTGTTTGAAGGTTGCGAATCGATCGTTTGTAGGCGGACAAGTTTTTTGTTCTTGTTCAAAGGGACCAAACATGAACGTCAAATTGAATGGAGAAAACTGAGGTTACAGCATGAGTAGATTAATCTAGCATACCTTATAATCTAAAGGAAATTTAATTTTGAGTACACACGGAATTATTTATGTGTAACTAGCTATCGTCGGCGTCTCCGTCCGCGTGGAATTAAAAAATACTTAATTAGTAGCCTATGTGTTCTTCCAGAATATGTTCTACATCTATGTTAGAGCCTTGTGCCTGTGCCTGTGCATTTATAATATGTGTAAGATATCTAGGTAAAATTATTCGCACCGCATTTTAAGATTAGATCGTCAAGGGCTGAAGTCGTGGGTTGATACCGTCTTTATTATGATAATTTATACAGGAGACCGTAGGAAATGAGTGTTGTGAGTTTACGCACCGTTGGTAATGAGTCGCGGTCGCTCATCGCTGGAATAAAATGTTTTTTTTTTTAATATTGGAAAATTCGAGCTCCACCCGCAGAGGAGTTACGACGCCAATTCCAAATACTCCACGTCCTTGAATTTCTACAAGTTTTGCGCAATGCAGTGTTTTAATATAAATGTACATATAACCTTTGACACTGAACTTTCCTATAAAATTCGAATTAAAATAGATTTTCGAAAGAAGTACCGAAAATAAGCCTTAGTTCTCAAGATAGGGACTGAAAATAGAATTAGTAGAACAAACATTTTTAGTCCCTAGTTTCTACCTTTTTAAAAAACAACATTGAATCAGAACAAGTATTCCAAATTCGTTGGAGTCAACCACTGGGCTAGTAGTCTACTTGAATATTTATGTTGACGCGTTTTGCGTGGAAACAAACGCTAACATAAACACACATGAATCATAAACGAGCCATCATACCCACACAAGCATACATGGCGATTATGAAACAAAAGCTTTACATCAAAGACACGCCACTTGTGTTATCGCAACCCCATCCCTAACGCTCCTGGGTGTACATATAAACTACAAGTATACTGGAAGAGACTTTTTAATAAATTACCATACATTACAGCATGTGCCTGGTCAAATGTTAAGTCTATGCGTAACAAATTTTCAACAATGTCGGGTAAGGACCGATATGTAAATTTTTGTTTTTCATTACTGATCATAAAACCCTCCATAATATATAAATTGTGGGCTTAACGACATAAAATATCTCTTTTCACATATCTAACGAACATAAAATATTTTTTGTCAAGAATACAATATTAAAAGTATTGTCTAGAAAAAATAGGACTGCCCTACACGAACTGCGACAACATTCTGACCCTTTTATAAATGCTAATGTCACTTGACGAATGAACGTAGAAAACGAAATAGTATATGTAATTGAGCACTAAACAAATGTTGAAATGCTATCTTAAATTGTACAATTAATTGCAGAGTTGCACAGTTTAAAAAAACACAGCTACAAAACCCATTTGTGGTGAATTTTCAATGAAATATTTTTGAGGTATAAATTGCAACATGTCAATTGTAAAGTTGAATGGACTGTACAATATTCTCCAGCCGTGCAATCAAGCTCATTCATGCTACAGTTAACACACATGCAAATATTACCACGGACTAACTCTTTCACACGAGGGTAGCGAAATGATATAGAATAGTAGACAGTGTAATTCAGCTACTGTTTAAACGCGTACTTAGTATCAAAATAGTACTGTACTATTTCGTTGCAACATGAAAAGCGAAATATATTTTTGCGCATGTTTTTCGTCACTGGAATCGGTAACGACATTACAATGCGGTTATTTTTACAACAGAAACGTTTCACCAAAGAAAGAAACAATTTTCCGTCGCCATTATCAGTAATAAGGGGTCGCTTAACCTCTTTCAAAGAAAAATTATGGCGTACGTGAGGTCTTTGTGAATTTGTTATTGTAGTATATTTTTAGCTGCTCTTAGTAAATTATTGTTAACGTTAGGCCAGTAATACGATGTGATAGTTTCGAGAAAAAAATATTTATTTTGTATTCGCCATGTCAAAAATATTTTAGTTTGATGTTTTTATTACACTGCTCTACTCGTAATGTACATCATAAAATATATATCTTTTTGTGTTTGTATTTGAATGTCGTAATTAATCATTTTAGGTAAAAATTAAATAGATTTGTTTGACTTGTCAGAGAAATGAACAATTATCTAATACCACGTTAATATAAAAGTTTGTATGAAGGACTTTAGCTCAATAAACCTTACATTTTACCAAGAGAAGTATTTCAGACGTGCGTCGAATATTGCCTGCGTTCCATTGCGTGCTATCTATGACAGGCAATTATTCAACACAATCTGGAGCCGCAATGTGTCTGGCGCCGTAAACTATCAGAGTCAGTAGGTCGAGTGAGTTGGGAGGGGCAGGAATGATGGCTTGTTTTCAGGAGTGGATAGATATTAATCAAGATGAAGTACCATTAGGGAACGAATTCCATTTCATATGTAGGTCAGTAGACTCACGAACAAACTGTAAGATTTTTTTATAATAAAACATAAGTAATAAAGAGGATCAAACACAGTCACGTTTTAAGGTCATAAAGCCTTTGATTTTTTGGCAATTATTCATTACTCGTTCCATCTCTATCATTTCATTTGCAACCTTTATTAAACCAATTCCGATAAGATAGTATGAAAATATAAAGCTTCACTGACCGTATCTACAACACGTAACGCTACATTGTTTTCCCGCGTGAGTTAACAGGCAGAAAATTGAACAGCAGTATTTTAATTACATCCCCCGAGCGGTGAGATGGGATGCAAAATTTATCGATATACAGTTATTAAGCTTATACTTTAACCTCTAAAGTCACGTAAAGCTAACTGGCTGACTTATCCAATTACACCTGAGTGGGGAATTTGCCGGCTTCTAATAAAGTTTACGTTCCATTACATCACTCTAATCGTTGGTTTCTGAGCTCAAAATCTCTGTATAAAACATATCGTCATCTCGTTCATTATCTTTGACTAAACAGATATTATTTTTATATTAGACTTGTAGTAATTTCCGAAAAATAATACTCGGGTAGTTTTTTATTCCTATTCATTATGTTTTTCCTTTGAGAATCATTATTATTCCGCATCTTGCTCTTTTGATAAGTCACGTAATATTCTGCATTAATCTTTTCCTTTTGATCCTTTCCTGTCGTACACACTTCCACATGAATTAGTATATAAATAGTATATAGATGTTAATTAATCTCTAGCTATACCGGAAACGGAAGTCGTATTATTAATTGGTTTGATAAATGGAACATACTAATAATTCTATTATATATTACACTTATCGCGCTGAATATTTAGAATTACTTCAAACATGGCATAGTTTTCTAGCAACACAAATAGTTCGTGGAAAAAATAAGGCCATCTACAACGAGGACGTAGCAATGGCATGTTGCGTGTCCATTAACCATTATTCACGTCGCAGCGAGATGTAATCGGTGACATTAACGGCGCAATGTACGCCGAACTCGAAATAACGTAGCGGTCGCTACGCGTCTAGCTACGACGTAGTTACCGGAAAGTTTAGTTTTAG